GAACCATCTCCAGATGGAAGCTGTGAGCCACCAGGATTGCACAACGGCAGGCGTGGGGGTCTCACCCACATCACAAGAGGGGGCATTTACCGACCTGGAACAAGACTGTAGGCCCAAGATGTGTGGGCAAAAGTTAACAGAGACTGTGGGTGGGCGTGTAAGCGATCTGGAACTGTTGCAGCCCACTGTGCAGAGCTGGGTGCTGGGTGCCAGGTGTTAGTCTCTGTAAGTTTCTCCACCCTCCCAAGATATAAAGTATAATAAATTCACATAAAAATATATTATATGGTTTGTCTGGTAGTGCAAGAGACCCTGAGAGAACCTGATGGACAGGTGCTCATGAGCCTCTCCAGTGAACCAAGAGTCTGGGACCAGGGAAGGTCCAGAGTGAGGGGCAGGGGCTGGTGATCACCTGTTGGGCTCATGTGGGTAGACAGAAACTAGGAGGGCAGCCTAGATCTCTGCTGAAATCATGAAGGGTGGAAGTAGCTAGGACTTGTAATATATGCCTGTAATTCCTGTTGGGAGGCAGAGGAGGTAATTCAAAGCAAGCCTGGGTTACACAGTAAATCTGAGCCAGCTTGGACTACATCAGATCCTGTCTACAAAGAAAAAAATTCTCGAGACAGGATCTCACTGGTTGGCTTGGAACTTGTGCCATGACTATGCCAACACTGTAATTTCCTGAACAACAACAACAACAACAAAAATCCTAACTTTTCAACTTAGTTTTTGAGTGGGTCTGGCCAGGCATGGTGGCACATGCCTTCAGTTCCAGCACTCAGGGGCAGAGGCAGGTGGATCTCTGTGAGATAAAGACTACCCATAATCTTATTCAAAATGGTTTCTCCAGCTCCAATCACAGAAGTCCAAGTTTGACTCCACCTGTCTTAGTTTATTCTTCATTGCTATGACAAAACACTCTGACCAGTACCAACTTGGGGAGGAAAGGGTTTATTTGTCTTACATCTCCCAGGTCGCAGTTCATCAGGGATCCCAAGATAGGAACTCAGGGCAGCAACCTAGAGGCAGGAGCTGGAGCACAGGCCATGGAGGAACGCTGCTTACAGGCTTGCTCTCTTGGCCCCTGCTCAGCCTGCTTTCTTATGCAACACAGGCCCACCTGCCCAGGGGTGGCACCTCCCACAGTGGGCTGGGCCCTCCCACATCACTCATCAAGAAGATGCCCCTCAGACATTGCCACAGGCCAGTCCAATAGAGGCAATTCCCCGACCGAGGCTCCCTCAACCCAGGTGTGTCAAGTTGACACTAAAGCTATCCATCACACCACCCAAATCTTAACAGACTATCCTGCCTTTTTAATCCCTAGTTCTAGAGTATCTCATTCACCCAAGGAATGTGTCCTTTCCAATCTCCACTGTGTGCCACTTTTCAGTGCTTTGATACTTAATTCTCAAGCATACCTACGTTCATTCATTCATTATCTTTGTAGGAGATAATGACAACTCAACCAAATTGAGTTGTCAAGTGTCAGGTCACAAGATTCAAGAGCACATGGTTTTGCTGGGGTTAATTAAAAGTCATTAGTCCAGATTATGTTCATTTATAAAAATTCATTTCCACAGGAACTCAGTATGTAGACCAGGATGGCCTCAAACTCATAGAGATCTGCCTGCCTCTGTCTCCCAGTACTGGGACTAAAGGCACGTGCCACCATGCCCAGCCCTGAGTGCAAAAGTTTTTTAAAAACAAGCTTACAAAGAAAATGTGGAAGGTAGGAGAGCTAGACATGAAGGTCTGGTCCATGCAGGGGTGGAACCAGAAGACAAAGGTTCCTAGTTTGGGCCAGAACCTAGATGAAGCCAAGGAAATGGACAGAGCAGGGGCAGAGCTGAAGCTAGAAGGCAGGGTTAGGAAGTCTGTCCTAGTGGGTGGTCTAGGAATGGAGGGGCAAGAGAGGACTGGAGGCAGTCCTAGACAAGTTGGCAGTCAGATGAGTGAAATCAGAGGGTTCAGGATGAGGCCCAGAAGGAGGGATCAGAGCTGGAGACAGCAAGAGCAAGGGTCAGAAGTAGAAAGCAAGGTCAGCTCCAGCCATGGAGGAGGCTGCTGTGCTAACTCGGAAGAGGGAGTGGGGTAAGCAATGAAGGTGGGGGCCATCCAGACCAGCAGTGGCTGCACCATCTTAAGGCTGTCAACGAGCAGGGAGCAGGTCCCCTTCATATCCTGATGGAAGGACAGATCTGAGAGTCTTTAAAGCTCAGTGGAAACAACAGGGATCTGCATCCTGTCGCTGGATACAACCTCTGTTGATTTAGATATGCCAAGCCCTACCCAGGTGGGCACTCTTTCTTTGCCAGCCCTGCAACTCTGCCCTGGAATAGGCTGCCTAGCTGGCAGGTCATCCTGGACCACAGCTATATGGAGAGGCCTGATGGTGGATGCTGAGGCAATCACAAACATTGGGGGCTGGGTAACTCTCACTCCACTTAGTTGGCAGTTCTAACTCTTTATCATGTGTGAGATTATTTGGGAGCATCTACAGAATGCAGCCACTTCTCCCCGCCCGCCTCCCAGCACCTTGGCCAGCAACCACTGGCTTCCTCTTAGATTAATATTGTCTCCTCTTCCAAGGCCTTCCTGCTTCCACCTTGCCCTTGTGTCTGTACCCCACAGGACAGACAGAAGGACTGTTTCAGAACATGCCTCTTGTACATCCGAAGCCCTCACCTTCATCATAGGCCTTGTGTGGTTTTAATTGAATTTATTTTGTGACAAGGTACCACCACCTAACTCAGCCTGTTCTCACACTCATGATAGTCCTTGCCAGTCCAGAGCCTCCCAAGTCAATGGCATCTTTTTTCTTTCTTTTCCATGTCCGTTGACTGCATCTCCTGCCTCTCCCCTCACTCAGTCCTAACCTTCGTGCTGTGGTTCTCAGACGTACCAGTTATGTTTGCTTCCCTGGGCTTTTGCATAGAATCTTTCCTCTGCCTGGAACAATCCTCCTTAGATATCTGCAGAACTTGATGCCTTCATTCTGGCCTCTGCTAAGATGCTATGGCAAATGTGTACTCCCACCACCCTCTCCCCATTTCCTTTAAGTCATTGCATGGTATATTGTATAGTCTGTCTGAATCTCTCCCACAAGAATGTTAGTTCATTGGGTTGGAGAACTGGCCCAGTTGTAAGAGCACTGGCTGCTCTGAAGAGGTCCTGGGTTCGGTTCCAGTTCCCAGCACCCACATGGTGGCAAACAACCACCTGTAACTCCAGTTCCAGGGGACTGGATGCCACTCTTCTGACTTCTGCAGGCATTGCATGACATGGGTGCAGACAAGATACTCATACACATAAAAATAAAAATAAAATTTCAAAAAAGAATGTCAGCTCTTTTAGAACATGACTTCACTGTCAGTGCCCAACACACTGGTACAAGTGCTCAGTGACCATGCAGGGAATAAATGACCACACCCCAATAGTCACTTTGTACCTCCTGGATGCTTTCAACTATGTTCCTACATCTGTCTCACCCATCTGTGAAGTGGGGGAGGTGAGTCTGAGGTAGGAGCATCATGAGTTTGAGCTAGACCCTGTCTTAAACAAACCAAACCGAACAATAAAAACCCACAGTGGTTTCAGATGTAGCTCCCTGGTGGAGCCATTTGTCTAGAATTAACCAGTGCAAGGTTGAGATTGTAGCTTTTTTTTTCTTAAATTTTTGTTTTCATTTATTTTTATTTGTGTATCTGTGTGTATGTATGCTTGTATTGGTATGAGTGTGGGTGTATGTGTGTGTGTGTGTGTCGGGGGGTGCCTTCAGAGACCAAACAGAGTCTGGAGCTGGAGTTACAGGCAATTGTGAGCTGTCCAATGTGGATGCTGGGAACTGAACTCAGGTTCTCTAATGGCAGCAAGCACTTTTAACCTCTGGCCATCTCTCCAGTCCCCAAGGATGTAGCTTTGACACAGACAATTGTCCAATATGTGCAAGACCCTGGTTTCCTTAGCCTCAATGAATCAATAAATAATAACCATGTATTTGATCAAGTGCTTTTTCACATGCCACCTGCTTCTTCCTAACCAGATCTCTGCTTAAGCACACAGAACTCAGTTCAAACCAGTTTCCCATGTTTGTGAAGGAGTGTCAAAATCCAGCCTCCAGCAGGTTTGGGGAGGCTCATCTGGACAAGGCATAGATTGGACAGTGGGCTCCCCTTAGCATTAGTGCTAATGCTAAGTCACCTGTTTGTGGAAGCCCAATTTGTCTCACAGGTAAAGTACAGCACACGGTATGGCCACAAGGCAGCACAGATTATGACAGGTGAATCCCTGAATCTGTATCTTTAAAAAATCTGGATCTGTAGACTGTGGTGGTTCATGCCTTTAGTCTCAGCACTTTGAAGGTAGAGACAGGTGGATCTCTGTGAACTGGAGGGCAGCCTGGTCTACATAGCGAGTTCCAGGTCAGCTGGGACTACAGGGAGACCCTGCTTCAAAAATACCCTTCCCACAAGACTATGCTGTCTGTGTATATGCAGAGAGCCTGCATAATAAGTAAATAAATATTATTTAAAAAAAAATCCCTGTAAAGCTGCATATTCCTGGGCATGACCCTAGTTACCCTTCTTAGGGGTTGAGGAGGTTAAGTGAAGACAGGAGTAAATGGTTTCAGAAAACCCTCCAGGCCAGACTTCAGTAAAGGCAGAGCCACAGTAGATGGGAGGGGGCTGGAGGAATTGGAGATAGGAGAGGACATCCAGATGTCCAGACCTGGAGCTTTCAGTAACAGGTCTGCTGGGTGGGGTTCCACTTTTTTCCTCTGGGAAGCCAGTTCAACTGAGCCACATATTTGCTCTGATTAAAGGCGTGCGCCACCACGCCTGGCCTCTGCACAGCCTTAAAGTAAATTCACTACCGGGTTTAGGGACTGCATACCTGTAATCTCTGCGTTTGAGAAGGTACCTGCAGGCAAAACTTTGTTAGTCCGGTTGTATTCACTGGAGAGTTGGTGCATGGACTGTCACTCAGGGCATGAAAGGGTGGGACCTAAAGCTCTCTCCAATCTGCCACTGGCCTGAGGACTACCCAATCCCGCACACTGACCAGAGAGTAGCGTGCGGGCTTTCACATTCTTGTTGGGGTCTTGACTTCCGGACGTGGCCATTTTGGGATTTGCTCAGGTTTTCCGAGCCTGCAGGTCTTGAATCTGGACATGGTGAGTGCGGCGTGCGGACGGGGAGGGAAGCTGTGTCCCACAGAGCAGGCGGTGGCGGCTCCCTGACTTCCGTGCAGTGTCCCAGGCCTGAGCCCTGGTTGGGGCCGCGGTGCTCCAGCTCCGGGCCCTGCGTCCGGTCCCTGTCCCTGCACCGGGAGCCGGGCTGCCGCCGCCTGCAACTCCGCTGGGGCGAGTGGCCGGTCCGAGCCGGAAGGGAAATTGACCTCCATGTCTGCACACTGGCTCCTGATAGTTTATGCTGTGGTGCACCCGGGGTCTGCAGGGCCCTGTAGGGTGGCGGGCTCCGGGCTGGGCGGGGGTGGCTCAGGGGGTTGCAGAGGAGCGGCGCGCAGGTCAAGGGTCCCTCCTCCATGGCCCCAGGGCTTGGAGATGTTTGGTTTCCTGAGCGGTGTTGCGGATGCGTGGCAAACCCACTCTCTAGGACTTTCCCTGACAACTTCTGACTTGATAGTGTTAAAGTGGCAAAAAACCCCCAAACAAACAAACAAACAAACAAACAAACAAACAAACAAACAAAAAAACCCAAACCCAAAACCCTTAAAATTAACTGGTCAAAAAATAAAACCTCTAATCTATCTGTTGGAAGACCCATCTGTTCCATCAATCAATCACTGGACCACCCCTAGGAAGTCATGCTAAATAGCGGTGGATTACCTGGTGTGCTAGTGAGATAGTGAACTTCCCTACCTGGAGTCCCCCTTCCTAAAGTTTCCTTCTCACTCTATGGCTTGCCGGCGTGCTGTGAGTCTGACGGCAGGCAGGCTCTAAACCTGCATGGCTTCATGACTTTTTTCCCTTCTCCCCTGCATTCTCCTCTACAGGGCAGCTGCTGAGCTTCACAGCATGTCTACCTCCAGGATTTTTCCTAGAATGCTCTTTTCTCATTCATAAAAGACTTTAAGAATGGACTCAAACAGAAGTTTTAGGACAGACTATTAAGTCAGCAACAGACTGGGCAAGTGGTGGCTAGTTAGGGGGCTAAAGATAGCCCAAGATAAGCTGTAACTAGGTTTTGGACCTGTAACATTGCAAACTCTACACAATCACAGAAGTTCTAATCAGTCATCAGCCTTAGGAGAGTTTTCAATTTCAAGATGCAGTTTTTCTGGGAACTTTTGTTCACACAGGAAATGGCTACTGTACTCTTACCTTCTGACACTGTCTGTGGGTCCTGGTTCCCTGTACAGGCGTCTCTGCAAATCTGTTCCTCCCTCTTTCCTCTCCACCCTTTTTTGTTTGTAGTTTTGTTTTGTTGATATTTGATTTTTTTGACAGGGATCACTCTTTGGCCTAGACAGGCTTTGAACTTACAGCAATTCTCCTGCCTCAGCCTCCTGAGCAGAGATTTATATAGTTCTAAAGCACCAAGTCCAGCTCCCTATCATTTTTTTTTATCTCATCATTTGTCTCTCTGTCTCTGTCTTTGATGTGTACAGAGCCCTAGTCTGGTAAAGCCTATTGACTTACGTGGACCCACCCAGGTAGATGTTTAACTCAGTATGCAGGATTTCAGGAGCAGTTGTGTGCAAAGGCCTTACCCCTTCCCTCCTCCTCCTGTCCCCTTCACTGCCTTGTTAAGGTGAAATATGGGAGGGAGTTCTAGGCTAGGGTTCAAATCTTATCTCCAAACCAGGCATTAGAGTACAGACCTGTAATCCCAGAGCCCTGAGGTAGGAGGAAGAATTATAACCTTAAGGCCTCTAAAGTGAGTTGAAGTTGAATTTGGCAACTCAGTGAAACCATGTTAAAAAAAAAAAAAGCAACTGAGGGCATTTCAGTTGTAGCGCACTTGACTAACATGTGAGGGCCTTGAGGTTCTGTACCTAGTCACTTTCTCCCTGTGGTTCACCTCTGAGAAGCCAATCCCCTGTCTTTACAACCCATTTGTTCTGGAGAATAGGATGATGTCATCCCCTGCCTGCCAGTGTGGTGGGGTCACAGCAAGGCAAGAGTAAAGAACTGCCTTCGAAATTCTTGGGGTTGCTTTGGGGCCCACTAGCCTTGCTCTCTGGAACTCTCAAGCACAATGCAGAAGAGTGCATTGGGAAGCTGTGCCCACTGTAAAGAAAGGGAAGCTGAGGCCAGGGGTAGGGGCCTAGGGGGAGAGTCTCCCACTGTCTGACCCTGTAGGGCAGGTGGGGAACTGGTTTGTCCCTGAAAGGACTAGAGCACGTTGTGCCTGCACTAGGCACAGAGGGGTTTGAAAGAGCTTGGAGAGTTGGTTCTGATGGTTTCTACTCTCTGAGGATGAAGAAAGGAAAGGGATGAGGGAAGAAGAGCTGTGGGAACCAGACAGTGTAAAGAAAGACAATGTGAGGGAAGATGTGAGGGCCTGAGGGAGAAGGAAACTATCCCAAAGGAATTCCTCCTGCAGACAGCAGTGCAACTCTTGCCAATACCCAGTACTGTTCACAGGAGGAGCAGATACTGGGGACCCCCTTCCATGCGGTTTGGGAGTGGAGAAAGGGAGGGAGAAAGGGAGGGAGGAGGTAAAGAGGTGTTTGGGCACCCAACAGGGATCTGGGTCAGGAGGTCTCCTCTCCAGTGTCAGGAACTGAGGCTGTGGAATGAGGGTGTCTTTGCTTACTGCGACGGACCAGCCCAGACCGGGGCAGTTCAGTCCGACGGGAACAGGGTCATCGAGAGGGTGGACAAGGAGTCGGCGAGTGACAAACACACAAAGGAGCTTGATGAAGGTCTGAGTGTATTTTTGCAGCTGCAAGGTTTGAAATATATACAGCAAAGATTGCAAAAGTTCATCATCAGCATGACTGTTCTGTAATTAGTCACTTCCTAAGATTTTCAGTAAAAGTGAAACAATTTTGCCAACCATCATGTATAGCCAAAACACATTTCTTTATCTTATCAACCTGGTACCAGTCAGCAAATTCCTGCTTTATGATACTATGGTATCTACTACCAGTTTTTATTACGCACTCAGAACTCTGTTTAGTTTTGTGTTTTCAGGTCAGAATGACCTTAAACCATGAAGTACTTTCAATATCAACTGTGCATGATATTTCATTTTTAACTATTTGATAACATTCCTTGCTTATTTGTAGTGGGCCATCGGGCTTCTAAGTCATTCTTTAACCCCTTAGATCCTAAAAAATCATTTTATGTTAGGAACCTATGAAACCATATTTCCCAGCTATTTTTCCAATCTTTAACTACAGTCTGTAGTTGCCTTTTAATGCTCTCTTGTTGATCTTTTATCAAAAGACACCAAGGTGGTCTTAATCTTGCCAATTTATCCATGAATTGTAATGAATACCAAGAAACCCTTCTTCTATCTATATTTACTAATCTATGTCTCTCTTCTAAAATTCTGTTATTCCCTGGACTTTCCAGCATTAATTCTGCTTAACTACTTCTTGTTGCATCTGAAATAGCTTTCATTAATAGTGATGCATCTGGAGGCAAAGTTGTCTTTTGTGATTGAATTCCTGAGAACTTTTCCTGCATACTAGGATAATTAAAAGATTTCAATGAAGGCAGTGACAGCGGTGTCAAGGACACCAGGTGCTTTCTGGGCCCCTGAAAGTCCATGATACAGTGACAGAAACAAAGATAATAGCAAGTAAAAGCATGCCAAGTACACTGCATGTTTTTTAGCACAGCCAATTCCAAGAGGCAACCTTCCTTGAAGTTCCAGCCTCAACCCATGGAGGATCTCACGCGGGCTTCATTGGAGATGGCGTGACAGCTTACCTTATGCTGCTGCCACCTCATTCTTACCTGTGTGTCACCTGTTTTCTTCTGGGCTTTCCAGATGTGTGGGAAACTGGGTCTCAGATCCAGAACCCTGACAAGCGGTTCAAGTAAGGGTTTAGCACTTTCCTGGAAGGGTTTCCAAACATCATTTCCTCCTTTCCACAGTACCATTTGTTCCTCATGCTGTGTTCCAAGCAGACAGTATTTTATCATTCTTTTCTCCAAATCCTGGAGTAATTGATTTTTTTTTGTTGTTGAAACAGAGCCCCCCTGTAGCCCCAGCTGGCCTGTAACTTGCTATGTTAACCAGGCTGGCCTTGATCACAGAGATCCATCTACCTCTGCCTCCCAAGTGCCACCACGTCCAGCTCACATTCCTTTTTAAAAATTTTATTTATAGCCAGGTGTGGCAATTTTTGCATGTGGAGGACTTCATTTTTGCCATGCTCATGTCCTCTCAAACATTCGTCATCTGTGACCATTTTGACATGGCTCTTCTGATGGCATGGTTAGACTGTTAGTAGGTCTGCTATTTGGCACACTTAGTCCTTCATGTAAACTTGTGAAACTACAGGTTGTCCAATAGTTATGGGAATTGTTCTGGGAATAGACAAGGGATCTGTGATTTTTCCTTTTTTCTGTATTACTGCTGGAGATTTTAAACCACAGTAGTGGTTATGTGCCCATTTGTTTTTCTGGGATCTTGGGAGATTTGCATGTTCTCAAAAGCCCGTTTCCCTAGAGCTTGGGGGTTTATCCTATGTTCCTTCAGATAGACTAAGTTAAAGTTGGGATACTCAGTGAACGGACAAATTCCTGCCAATGGCAACTGGTGGACCTGGAGATGTCATGTAGTAAGAAGATGGCTCTGACCGTGCTGAGCTCCCAGCCAGGATGCCAGAAGCCTACCAATTTTGCCATGTTAACACTGTGGAACAAGTTAAAGGCTCAACTCTCAGAAATAACAACTAGCAAACCATAGTAGAAATTCCCTCCAGGGAGAAATAGGACTTTTGGGTATTAACCCCTTTTCTGCCTTAATCTCAGGGGATGAAACCCATGGAAATATTTGCCTTAGCATATGAAACTGGGAGTTTATTCTGGGCTCTAGATAGAATGGTGTGTGTCTATTCACACAGAATGATGGAGTTGGGGTGCTGCATCAATGCTCATGATCTTCCCCTCAGAGTGATGTTTGGGGCTTTGAATCATTTTCCAGTAACCTAGCACATCATCCAAAAAAGAGTTCATGGCCGAGTGTGTCTAAGAATTCCTAACTTTTCTTAGTTGCCCAGTGTATAGAAGTCGCTGAGTCATTTTTGCTTTGGAGAGGGAAATGAGACGTAGATGTTTATTAAACCTGTTGTATGGATGGGAGTCAGGAATGTGTTCAAAGACTTCTTAAATGTTTTCCAATCATGATCCCTATTACCTAAGAAATCTCCTGTGAACCCAGATGCATAGGTATGCAAAATAGCTATGTAAATCAAACACTTACTGATAATAAATCATAAAGAAATTGATTTTAGAAAAATTCTTTGATATACACAAAATTTTGCCAGTTGTTAAAAATGTGAGCAGCTTTGCATATAAATAGATTGGATGTGCTTTTTTATCTAACCGGTACAAGTCAAATATATACTAATATGATATTTAAATGCTAAGGAATAAAGGTAGGAAAATATTTTTAAAATCTTTCTTTTCTGGGACTGGAGAGATGGCTCAGCGGTTAAGACCACTGACTGCTCTTGCAGAGGACTCGGGTTCAATTCCCAGAACCCACATGGTGGTGGTTAACAACCATCTGTGGCTTCAGTTCCAGGGGATCTGATACCTTCTTCTGACCTCTTCAGGCACTGCATGACACGGGTGCACTTACACACATGCAGGCAATATACTCATACACATAAAATAAAAGTAATAAATACACTTTCTTTTCTGTAATCCAATCTTTGTGTTTATATAAGAACAGAAAACTATGCGTAGTAAAACACTGCAGTTTAAAACATACATTTAAATTTTTGGTTTATTTATTTTGGTTTTATGTGTATGAGTGTTTTGCCTGCATGTATATAAGTGCACACATGGTGTGCAATGCCCATGGAAGACAGAAGAGGGTGTTAGATTCACTGCACTATTGGAAGTTGGGTTCAGGGAACCAAACCCAGGTCTTCTAGAGCCACTGAGCCATCTCTCCAGCCCCCAAATATACATTTAAACAAAAGGAGTTTTAGGTAGTGATCCTCTTTGTTTGCATAACAGATCATTTAGTGCTAAGAGCACATGCTGTGGGTTCACAACAAAAGCTGCAGGAATGCCACTCCATGCAACATGAGTGAGTGTTGGCAAAGAAAGAAAAAAAAACAAAACCTTGGATTCATTAAAAATTTCTTTCTGAATTAATTTTTGGTTATTTCACATCTAGAAATCTCGTACTTTGCAGGTTTTTTGTAGCCCTTGCATTCATTTATGTGACTCCCACAGGGGGTCATGACCAACAGTTTAAAGCCTATTCTGTAGGTAGTGAGGGTAGAGCTCATGTTTCTTCTGGGCCCTCACTGTGGCATAATGCTGTGCCTTCAGCCCCAACACTGTCTTTGCATTGTGTGATTCATGCTTTACTGATTTAATGCCATTTTTACATGGCTAGGTTTGTGTATGCTTTTCTCTTGCTCTTAATAATGCAAGCCTTGCATACCCTTGTATTCATCTCCAAAGTTTGTTCTCATTGAAATTTTTTGGAGAATGCTTTATGTTTTTTTATGAGTCACTACACTAATACGGTGTTTTCTTTCTCCCATTATACAGTACACACTTCAAACTTTACTTTTTTTTTTTTTTGCCAATGTGTAGACTTTATTACGTAGGCACATTTTTAAAAAAATAAACTGATTTTACATAACATTAACCACAATAGTGCAAGAAGTTACACTGAGTGAGGATGGATGATGAAGGAAAATACAAGCCTTAGATCAGCTAAGCCATTCAAGGGACCTTGGGTTTATCCATTCCGACACACTGAAATTCACTATGGACACTACAGAAATGGAGGGTGAAGAGGTGCCCACCTCAGTCCCTCCTTGTCTAAAACATTGATCCTGTTTAATCCCCTGAATATGACAAAGTTTTCTCCAGATGCTGTTGACAGGTGAACATACAAAGATAAATGAATGCCGGCTGAGTCAAACTTTACTTTTTATAGAACACTGTTAACACATATGTTCACATAGATAAGTGAAGTCCTATTTTGTGTTTACAAAAATGAATGCTTGAATTGATGAGAAATGTGTCATTGCAGGGGTTGGTGTCCTTTGAGGACGTAGCTGTGGACTTCACCTGGAGAGAGTGGCAGGACCTGGATGCTGCTCAGAGGACCCTCTACAGGGACGTGATGCTGGAGAACTACAACAACCTGGTGTTCTTGGGTGAGTCTGCCTCCCCTGTGACTTTCAGTAGCAGTTACTGTCTTCTTGGTTGATACATGTAGGAATCATTCCTAACGTTTAGCACTAATTTAATATTAAGCATTTGAAGTGACATAAGGCAATGCTACACATTTATGGAGAACAGTATAACTTTTCAACACACTTAGATAATGAGTGCCAACCAATGAAGGTAATCAGTAGGTCTATCCCTGCAGGCATTATTTGTTTGTACTGGGAACATTTAAAATCTCTCTGATAGATACTGTGAAATAATCAGTCAGTTGTTGTCAAACATAGGTTTACTACTCCACTGTAAAATTGAAGTTGTCTGTTCCAAATGCACTCAGAAAATACTAAGTATACTCTCTCCATTCTTCTCCCCTATACATTTTCCAAACACCTGTAACCACTTTTAAATTTTTTCTCTATTTCTTTTTTAAAATTTTATTTTCATGTGTACGAGTGTTTTGCTTGCATGCATGTAAATGAATAAGTGTGCAGTGACCTTGGAGACTAGAAGAGAGAATCAGATCCCCTGGAACTGAAGTTACAGATGGTTGTTAGCCCCCACGTGGGTGCTGGGAACTGAACCGGGTCCTCTGCAATAGCAGCCAATGCTCTTAACTACTGAGTTGTCTCTCCAACCCTAGTCTCTATTTCTTTTTTTTCTTTTTTTCTTTGGTCTTTTTTTTTTTTTTTTTTGAGACAGGGTCTCCCTGTAGTCCCAGCTGACCTGAACTCACTATATAGACCAGACTGGCCTTGAACTCACAGAGATCCACCTGCTTTTGCCTCTTGAGTGTTAGGACTAAATCAGGCATGCGCTACCAAGCCTGGCTGCACAACGGTATTTTAAGCTCAGGCATTTTTGGCATCAAAATGAACAAAGTCAAGAAAATAGATTATTTGTGGGTAAGAAAAATATCAGAATTATAGTTTTTTAAAATATTTCATTTTTATTTTATGTGTATGAGTATATTGCCTACATGTATGCAAGTGCACTCATGTGATGCAATGTCCCCAGAGGTCAGATGAGGGCACCAAATTCCCCTGGAACTGGAGTTAGGAATGGTTGCTAGCCACCATGTGGGTGCTGGGAATTGAACCTGGGTCCTCTGCAAGAGCTGCTTACTGGCTTGCTCTTCTGGCCTGTGCTCAACTTGCTTTCTTATACAGCTCAGGACCACCTGCCCAGGGTGGCCCCACCCACAGTGACCTGGGTATTCCCACATCACTCAACAATCAGGAAAATGCCTCATAGACATGCCCACAGGCTTCCTAGATCCAAGTTCCTGCTTTCAGTTCCTGCCCTGACTTCCCTCAACATGGCCTGTAACTTGTAAGATGAAATAAACCCCTTTCTTCCCCAAGTTGGTTTTGGTCACTGTTTTATCACAGCAACAGAAAGCAAACTAAAACAATATGCATGTGGGTGGGTGTGCACGGGCCACAGCGCACACATGTGGAAATGAGAGGACAACTTTCAGGAGTTTATTCTTTTTCCACCATGTGGGTTCCTGGCATTGGACTCAGCTCATCAGGATTAGTAGGAAGTGCCCAGGTGGGAAGTGCCTTTATACGCTGAGCCATCTCAATGCTAGAGAAAATTCTACTCTTCTGGTTAAATTTTGTTTGTTTGTTTGGTCTCCCTGTAGCTCCAGCTGCCTGGAACTCACTCTGTAGACCAGGCTGGCCTTGA